GGGGGATTCCTACAGGCAGTCGGCTCTGATACCAACTTGTGACGCCCTCGATTCAATCGTACACTAATCATACACGCAAATGTGTACGATCAAGATCAAGGACTCACGGGAAGATATCACAACACAACTCTAGACACAAATTAAAATAATACAAGCTTTATATTACAAGTCAGGGGCCTCGAGGGCTCGAATACATAAGCTCGAATACACAAGAGTCAGCGGAAGCAACAATATCTGAGTACAGACATGAGTTAAACAAGATTGCCTTAAGAAGGCTAGCACAAAAGCAACAATGATCGAAAAGGCAAGGCCTCCTGCCTAGGAGCCTCTTAACGACTCCTAGTCGTCAGCGGTCTTCACGTAGTAGTAGGCATCCTCCGGGTAGTAGTAGTCATCAATGGCGTCGTCTGGCTCCTGGGATCTGTCATCTGGTCGAAACAAACGGGTATGGGGGAAAAGAAGTAGCAAAGCAACCGTGAGTACTCATCCAAAGTACTCGCAAGACTTACATCAGATATAAACTAAGTATGCATCTGTATCAAAGTAATGGGTTGTATCTGTGGACTAAACTATAGAATGCCAGAAGGGAAGGGGAAAGCCTAGCCTATCGAAGACTAGCATCTTCTGGAAACCACCATCTTGCAGCAACAGGAGGGAGTAGAGTAGCATAAAGTAAAGTAGCAGTGATGTTTTCAACCTTGGCCAGAGATCCTTTCTCGACTCCCTGCGAGAAAGCAATCCCATAGCCACACTATCCAAGTGTCAACACATTCCAAAACACATTACCATCCAGCTCTCATCACGAGTATCCAGTTCTAGTTGTATCGATCGGGATACAACTCCAAGTGTCTGTTACCGTAGGACAGGCTATCGATAGATGTTTTCTTCCCTGCAGGGGTGCACCAACTTACCCACCACGCTCGATTAACTCTGGACGGACACACTTTCCTGGGTCATGCCCAGCCTCGGCCAAACAATACGCCGCAACCCTACCTAGGCTTAATAGAGAGGCCAGCACGCCGGACTAAACCTATGCCCCCAGGGGTCATGGGCCATCTCCCCGGGAACTCCTGCACGTTGCGTACACGGCCGGTGAGCAGACCTAGCTACCTCCTTCAACAAGGCAGGATCTTACGCAGTCCAACTCGGCGCGCGCCGCTCAGTCGCTGACGTCTATTAAGCTTCGGCTGATGTATACGATGCAGAACGCCCATACTATGCCCACGTGATGGTTAGTGCTATCAGGCCAGAGGCCCCTCGGATCGAATATCCAAACCGTAGTGCTATCAGGCCTGGTGGGTTGGGCCGGTTGGTCCGGGTGGGCCGAAACCCAAGTGGGGCAGGGGCTCTCCCTCTCTCTCACCTCTTCTTTTTCTTATGAAAACTTTTCTGTTTTCATTTAACAATAGCCTTTTACATTTTCTTTTTCAATAATTACCTTTTGCAAAAATGTGCCACTGGTGAAAACAAATACTAGGGGAAGTGGTGCACTGCCACCATAAGCTTGGGATTTATTTGAATCCATTTGGAATTTTCCTAACTGGGAAAGCATTTTTAAATGCTGATTTGCTCTGTAATAGTTGCTTCTGTCCACCTTAGCATTGTAGTGAAGTGGATTTCCCTTAACAATAAATTGTTTTGGAATATTTGCTAAATGATGAACATTTTTCCAGCAACTTTGTGCAACTTGAAATTTTCACTTTGAATTCGAATTGGATTCCGAGAAGGAATTTGAAATGAGATATTAATCCAATATGATTAAGCTTTTTAAATCAAGATGACTTGGCATTGATCAGAAGGGATTACTGTAGTGTGATGGTGGGAACGTTACACAAGTCCAGTACAGATAGCCAACAAAGGGATATTCTCTATAAGATTTGATCCAACGAATCAAACTACCAACGTAGGAAAAACTCCTAAGGATTCCAATCCATTAAAATTTGTGTGAAAATCATTAGAATCAAAAAGGCCCTGAGCAGAGAGTTAATAATTTTTTCTCTACTACTAATATAGAAAAGGGGGGGATCCTAGAAGATATCTTCTTAAAATAGAACTTCTGGTTCAACACATCCTTTCAAATACCTAAATGATAAAAATCTGACGTCATATTTTAGCATTTCCCAGCGAACGCTTCATATTTACCATGCGAAATCTGATAAATTTGTCATGTTGTTGTATAAAAATTTTCCATGTTCTAAAGCATTGTTGAGGAAATCGTTAACAGGTAGCTGCTCGGTCGGCTAGTGAGTAGGGGATTAATAGGCTAATCGGCAAGTTAATCGGCCATTTAATTAATTAATCGGACAATTTATCGGGTAATCGGCTACTCGGTGACCCTATGAGTAGGGATTAATCGGCAAGTTAACTGGTTAATCGGATGAATTCTTGAACAGGGTTCTAAAGTGAAAACTGCCACGTAGTGTAGAAACTTATCAGAAAATTTGTCATGGTGCAACGAGTAATTCGCATGCGTTTTGATCGAGATCTGACGTACCTGAGGGTGCCGGTTTTAGCGCTAAAAACCTTACATCAGATGTATATTGAAATCCTTTAAATATCACGATAGAGATTTTTTGGAACATTAGAGGTCTGGACCAAAATGATAAACACTGTTTCTGTGTGATCTATTTTCTAAGTTTAAACCAAATTTTATTGGTTTTCAAATGATTAAGAGAGAGAGAAGATTTATGATAGTTTCCTATCTATCATTAGTAGTTGCATTAAATTTTCTTGGCATATTTTTCCTACTCAGAACACTACTGGTGATTTTAGTAGGTTTCAAAGTTGATTTGTTTGAGGTTATTGGGTGCATTAACAGAACTTATCATGTTATAACTACTATTAGAAACAAATAAGATGGTTTTGTTTGGCAACTTGTGACAGTGTATGGCACTGCTTATGCAAAATACATAATGGAATATTTTGCTAAATTACATGAAATCCTAAGTTTACTTACTTATCCCACTCTCTTTTCAGGGAATTTTATCTTGCTAGAGAATCTAAGGACAAGTCTTCTGGCTTGATTAATACTAATTGGGCTTTCTTGTTTAAGGACTAGATTTTTACAAGAAGCTGAACCTAAACTTGAGGTACGTTTGGGTGATCATTTTTTTTCCTAAGAGTGATTTAGTTATTGACAACGAAAATGATATTTTACAAAAAAATATTTTCCAAGGAGGAGATTAAATAAGTTGTTATGGGATCATATGCCACGGGGCCTTGGAACTAATGGCTTCCTTTTCCTTTTCTACCACACTTATCAGGATCTCACCAAAGATGATTTCGGGGCCTTTAGTTAAGGGTTTTGAACTTGGCAAGTTGGATATTCGTAGCTTAACTTTTTTTGGTTGTTACACTTATCCCTAAAGTGCCTAATGTTAATGAAATGAAAGATTGTAGGCCTATTAGCTTGAGCAATTGCTGTGTGAATTATTTTAACAAAGGAATCACTAATAGAAGTTTTTGCTGGTAGACTAATCTCTCCTGACCAGCTCGGTTTATGGGAGGGGGGTATCTTATAAAGTGTGATAGCGGTGTTGTTCATAAGTCAGACTACGAGAAAGCAAATGATTGAGTTAGCAAGGAATTCCTGTGTGGGAATACAAACTTCTAGGGTTTTGGGAATAAATGAATCCACTAGATCTGGAGTGCCCTCTCACAGAGCTCCTATTGTCAGACTTAATGATGCAAATGGGCCTTATATTCTCAGTGGTAAGGGTTTGAAACAAGGGGATCCATTGTATCCCATCTTGTTTAAATTTGGTAGATGTTGTCTTCTCCAAAATTGGTAATTGTTGATTGTAATAGAAATCTGAATTGGGCTTTATGTTTAAATTTGGTAGCTGATGTAAATGGGTTTGCTTTGATTGTTCTTCTTTCTTGATCCTAAGATTGATTGTGTTAGAAATCTGAAATGGTTGCTCCCTTGTTTTGATGTTGTCGTCACCGTCCTTTGAGATAGCAGTCCGGTCATCCTCCTCCTCCTCATTGCCGACCTTGTCCTCGTCATGGGCGTCGTCGTCAACCTCGACCCCATTGTGGGTGTCATCGTCGTCCTGGTTCGCGTTTAGCGTGGGTCTCATTCTCGTTAGTGGTATCCAAGGCGATGAGAAACTCCATGTCTTTGTCAACGGATCCGCGGGCTGCGGCGCCAAGGAGACATAGACAAATAAGCCCTAAAAAAGGAAGGCCGGGGTCTAAGGACCAAAAAAGGACCTAGGCAAAAAGGTAAAGGGCGAAGAATAATATCGACTTTGTTTGGAGGGCGTTCACCCGAGAAGCCCGGAAGCCAATGCTTATCTGGAATACTGGAGGTTTTCCCTTCAATATTGAAGATATCATTTCAATGTGTTGACGTAAATGTATTGCACTGTCTCTTTTATTAGATCGGTCTTTTGGTTACATTGGCTAAGGCATGCACTTCTACTTAGTATAGGAGCCAAGAGGTTTTGAGTTCAATTAGCTTTGAGGGGTTGCACCCCATTATGAGTACTGCCAAGAATGGCGTCGGCTTTGTGGCTCTAGCGAAAAGGCGAAGAAGCTAGATTGGGCTGGTGTCCGGACCGGAATATATCTCTCTTAACCGGGAGTTAGTATAAAATTGGGTCATTTATTTTGGAACGGAGGGAGTACATCGTAGGGGATGACTCGGGACAGTGGATCTTGCCCACCACGCGCATTTACAATTGTTCTATTTGAAATTAAAACATGGCAGCAGCACATAGCTGATATGCCTTTTAAGCACCTCGCTGTGAATTGAATACCTCGACTATATTCAAAAGAAAATGCAAACAGATTAACAGACTGATGACTCCCTGAGCCTGTCATATGTACAGTTGGCTGTTGCCATGCCGATCGACTAGACTAGTTTTAAGCCTGCCAAAGAACACAGTGTTACAAAATTTGCGCCATGTACAGAGAGCAAACGGAAACAGTCTCTACAAGCAGCGGAATCTCCCGGCACAAGTTTCACACGACATGTCCCTACCCAGCATCGACGACTACCTCCCTTGAAGCATGGTGACGGTGAGGTCGCAGGCGGAGTAGGACTCGTCGCCGGCCTTCCCCCTGAACCTGTCCCTGTCCGAGGACGTGCACTGCAGCGTGAAGGTGGGCGGCCTGGGCATCGGCAGCACGGAGCTGTCGCTGCCCAGCGCCAGCACCACGTACGGGATGTCCGGCCGGTCTCCGGCGTGGTCCTGCACGCACAGCAGCGCCATGTGGACGCACCGAAGCGCCTCGCGCGACGCCGACGCCGAGCTCGATGCCCGGATCAACGGGTCGATCAGCTGCTCCCCCTTGTCCGAGTTCCACATCTGCCACGCCTGCGCCCGAGACCAAAGCAGGTCAGCAACAAAGCTCACTCTGTCTCAGAGAAGAAGAAGAAGAACCGGGACAGTGATGATACGTTGCTGATCAGAATCGGTGTGAGACGCTTACGTAGCCTACGATGTTGAGCGAGCCCTCCATGTTGTGGAAGCTGCTGTTCTTCTGGCCGGTGATGATCTCCAGGATGAGGATGCCGAAGCTGTACACGTCGGACCTCACCGAGAACAGGCCCTCCATCGCGTACTCCGGCGACATGTAGCCTCTGGTGACACATGGTCGTACCAAAATTTCAGCAAAAATTTCAACATTCTTCTGCCATTGTTGGTTTCTGCAAGCAATGGTACTCACAGTGTGCCGACGACGCGGTTGGTGTTCTCCTGGTTCTTATCGCCGCCGAAGATCCTGGCCATGCCGAAGTCGGATATCTTGGGGTTCATCTCGTGGTCCAGGAGGATGTTGCTGGCCTTGAGGTCGCGGTGCACCACGCGGAGCCTCGAGTCCCGGTGGAGGTACAGCAGCCCCCGCGCGATCCCTTCGATGATGTGCAGCCTCGTCTTCCAGTCCAGCAGCCCCCGCCTCGCCGGATCTGACCCGATCAGCACATCGTCAGAGTTGGCCCAAGAAAGCAAACACTACATCAATGAGATAGACGGCGCGTGTGCATACCGAAGAGGAAGGCGTCGAGGCTCTTGTTGGGCATGTACTCGTAGACCAGCATCTTCTCGTGGCCATGGATGCAGCAGCCCAGGATCCTGACCAGGTTGCGGTGCTGCAGCTCGGAGATGAGTGTCACCTCGTTCTTGAACTCCTGGCACCCCTGCCCGGAGCTCCTGGACAGCCGCTTCACCGCCACCTCCTCGCCGCCTGGGAGGCTGCCCTTGTACACGAGGCCGAACCCTCCTTCCCCGAGCTTGTTGGCCTCGCTGAAGCCGCCGGTGGCCGCCGCCAGGGTCTCCAGGGTGAACATCGGCAGCTCGCAGCCGTCGCCGTTCTCCGCCACCTCCTGATCGGGCTGCTTCGGCCCTGAGAAGTCGTGCTTGGCTTTCATCGTGGAAGGGCGCAGCATCAGTGCGGCTCCCGTCCTCTTTTTCCCGCCACGGACGCCGAGTTTCTCTGCACGAGATAAGACGAACCAAATTAGCCTGCCATGTACTACAAGAAAAAAATAATTGCCTGCAAATTGCAGAAATCTTGAGATCCGCACCTGTGATTCTTCTTCTGCATTTCCACAGGAGAAAGCCGCATGCGGCCAGTACAACCGCCAGGACGATTACTACGCTAATGATAATCCTTGTCCTTCGTTTGGAGCCTGAATCTGCCCAGGTAAAAAATACAGTCAAAACTATCATCAGCCATGTCCAATTGTCAGTCAAACGGGTCATTTTCATCTGCAGTGGCAAAGGATTATGGAACAGTACTATCTATGAATCTACCCTATCGCATCAGAAGAAAACTTTAATGATTGATGGAGGTCACATCAAGTTGCAAACTGCGGGCGTGTAATCTGGTAGAGCCACACGTGCATTCAGATCAGGTCAATATAAAAACCACCAAATATGGTCAGACATGTTGGCCTGCATGGTCAAACGAAGCTTGGTTTATTCCACATGTTCCATTTGTGCTACTTGCAATATATTATTATTCGCGACAGAGCCTAACTAAACTATCCACCTCACGACCGGGTTCATCCATACCCCAAGATAATGAAAGATCCGACCATGTTAGGTCATTTTCATGGAAATGTGCAAGTTGGTGAAAACATTCAGCATACGTCGTTTTCCGGAAAATCTTTTAAGCCGACTGAAAGATCCAAACACACCCTCAAAAGTCAGCTTGCATATGTTCACAAGTTATATTCGTTTCCTTCTTCTTGCAGGGCTTGGAATATTCAGAGTACTAACCCTTTTAGCTGCCTTAATGCGTTATTACCGAACTACAGCTGATAAAAGCATACGAAATGGAGGGCGAAAGTCATCTGAAAGGCAGAGCAGCCTGGTTAGTTTTCACCCTTGACGGTAACTGTTTACTGGTCCAAGTTGGCAACCATCTCCTACTGGGCTACATGTTCCGGTGAATTTTATTCCGTGGACTGACTACACAGGGCAGAGGAGACCCCAACCACTGTGCATGCATCCACACAGTTTTGTTCCTATTTAGAATTATTATCAACACGTCTGAAGTCGCGTTCCTCGTTGACAAGGACCAAAAATGTCATTGTTTACTTCTAATTCAGTGGTTTAGATTTTTGGGGTGTAGCAAGCCAAGTCAGTCGTGCAAGTCTTGCCACAAGCACACAACAAAAACAACAGCTTCTACAGTATAAGCGTTTATCAGCATTTCCTCAACAACCGAGAAGTTTCCTAACTGCAGTTTTGTAAACTCAATTTAGAAGTTCAAATGTTAACAAATTATCAACATTGATAATAAGCTTACCTAATAGAGAAGCCGGGACCTTGATGTGCAGGTCAAATCCTTGTCCGTTGGGGAACTGTCCGGCGGGGAACTGGTAGACGTCCACCAGCTCCCGGGCCCAGGTCAGGCACCCGGTGCCGCCGCTGTAGCTGTACGCGTTGCACGTGCAGTTGGCCAGGCACCACTGCCTGCACGCGTCCGCGCTGATGACCGCCGACTCCCACGCCGCCAGGTCCGGCAGCTTCACGCCGGTGAGGACGGCGAACCCGTCGCCGCCGCTCATGCTCACGTTCCTCTCGCTGCACGTCAGCTGGCTGCTCCTCACGCACCCCTGCGTCCACACCCCGTTGCTGTACTCCGCTTCGGATTTCGGCTCGAAACCTGCAAATTTGCACCAACGAGTTGAACGATCCATGGGGATTGGCGCGTAATGCAGCACGTCAGAATGCAGTTCGGAGTTTAACCTTTGAGGCAGGAGCAGTGGTCGGCGGCGGAGCACTCGGCGTTCGGGCCGCACGTGTTGTAGGCCTGGCACGGCAGCGTCGGCTGCGACCAGACGACCTCCCAGGCGCCGGTGGCGTCCACGAGCTGGTAGCACGTCTCGGTGCCGTTGGGCTGGAGCACGAACCTGTACTGCGAGGAGTTGAAGCGCTGGAAGGTGTAGAACAGGCCGTTGGTCTGGGACGGGTCGCCGGAGAGCTGGAAGCCGTAGAGGTTGAGCGGCCGGTACGGGATGCCCACGAAGCTACCCTTGGCCCACTGCCCGGACCTCCAGTGCGTCACGTCCCTGCCGTCCTCGCTCCGGCGCCATATGAAGAGCTGCGCCGAGCCCAGCGGGTCCTGCCCGAGCGTGAAGTTGCCGGGGGCCGGGTCGTCGGGGCTCCTCCACGACCGGAACAGCGTCTGCCTGACGACGGCGCCGTTTCGCCGGGCCAGCGTAATGTTCATCCCGGGGAGGAAGGTGTCCGCCGGGTGGTCGAAGCTCTGCCACAGGTGCACCGCCTGCGCGCCGCCGCCGCCGGCGAGCACGAGGTTCCCCGTGTCCTGGATCGTCAGCGTGAAGTTCCCCGCCGACGAGGTCGTGTTGGTCCGCCACACGACGCGCTCCCCCTCCAGCACCCGGAGGTCCCCGGAGTCGGTGACGGTGGCGGAGTAGGACGGGGCCGCGGCGCGCACCGGCGCGTCGCGGTTGGCCACCCACGGCACGGTCGGCTCCGCGGCCCTGGCGAACATGACGCCCAGGTACACCCGCGAGCCGTCGCCGCCGCGCGGCGAGAAGAAGGAGAGCGAGAAGGCGCCGTTGGCCGATAGGAGCTTGTCGTTGCCCGCCAGCGACTGCCCTTGCGACAGCGTCGTGGCCGCGTCAGCGTGGGCGTGCCGGCAGAGGAGGAAGATGAGCAGCGCCAGCGCTGCGGAGGTGGCACGAGCCATCAATGGCGGCTGGGGTCGAGCGGATCCTGCCTTGGCTCCCTAGTGGCGAAGGGGGTCGGGGGAGAAGAGGTCTGTAATGGATAAAGAGGTTGCTTCTTCCTCGGGCGCGTGGTTATATATCAAGCGCGCGAGCGCGCGAGGGGCGCGTGGGGAAGGCATTTGGGCCGCATGGTTTTGAATGGGATTTAATTAGGCAGGCTAACCAGCTTTAATAACTAAAAGTAGGGTTCATTAGGCGTGGTGCGAGTGCGACTACACTTAAAAAGTGGTTAGAATTGTGGAACGGAAGGGGCTGCGAAGCGCCGGGTTCACATTGTTTGAGACTCAACAAGACTGCACCAGCGACAAAACTCGTTAGTCCTTGATAGACTGGTATCTTTGATCGAGGACAAGGTGATTCACGTCGCTGATGAGGAGCCGCTACGGGAGCTTGCAGCTCTTAACTAAACTAATGATGGGAAATGGAGTGCTTATCTCAAAGGGCGTGTCCAAAGAGTGCCTTTTTATTGCGGGGGGTGTCCAAAGAGTGCCAGAGATCATCGTCAATCAGCCTTTTCTACATGGGACAAATTTTACGTGGAGTGGGTTGTGATTAATTGTTTGTTTAAACTTCATAGGATTGCTTGCTACACGCAAACAAATGTGAACGCACTAAAAATGGGGCAAATGTTTTCTGTCCATAAAGGAAACAATGTGGAGAGATAAGATACCTTCCGCTTGCCGCCTCCTAACACAAACCCTACTTCTCCATCCTCCCTTTCCCTCCCCGCTCCTAGAAACCAGTAGCCGGGCATAAGTCTCAACATAGGTCGATGATGGCACTGTTGAGGAGGTCGCCGCTCTGTTAGTCTTCGGCGGCGACATTCGATCTCCGGGCGGCTACTAAAAGTTGTGAGTGTGGCTGCATAGCGACAATGATGGTCTTTTTAGGCCTTTCCCAATGGCCTCCGGCAACGACGCACCGGTGACTACATTCATGTCTGCAGGTTCGTGTGCCACAACAATAGGCCGTCCTCGGCAGCCGTCCGCCTCTTCCGTGTGCGGACCTTCGCTCAGACAAGCGGGCTGTTGTGGCGGCGTTAATTGGGTGACGGTTATCGTTGGCCCGAAGGGTCTTCATCTTTCATATGAGCAAAATGGATTCTCCTTAATATGTTAACCGATTGATTCTGTCGCCACATGTGAGGACAGTGGGGCAAGAGGCGGCGCATAGTGGGCATCTGATGCAATTTTCCACTGATTGTCACCCGCGAGGATGGTGTGTGATTGTCAAAGCATTTAGAATTCGGGCTTTGGCGGCGGGACTGACCTTCCTCCCTCGTAAATCTTCATCACATGTGACCTTCGTCGTTCTGAGGCTTTGGTGGTAACTGGCTCTTCTCACAACTTGATGGTCTGCTTGTGCGAGCATGGTCACCACTTGCATGTCATATCACAACTCGATCGTGCACACACGTAGTAGTTGGGATTGCAAAAAAATGGTGGTGAGAGCACATGATGACTTCAATTTGGTGGTGCTTCTTAAGCACCCAGTTTTCGAGATCAAGGTTGAAAACCTAGGTTATACCCTAGTTGGGCATGCCTGGCATTGGTGGTTTGTGTCGTTGCCTTATTAAAGGCATTGCTCGAGGTTGCTCAGACTAGATCTGCACAGTTCTGACCCTTGGTGTTTGGATCCTAGGATGGCTGCGCTTGAGCGTCATTCTCTTCTGGGAGGCGTTGTTGTTGAAGAATATTTCTCGTTGTCCTTGTGTTGTCAGCAGATGGTTGATGTCGATGGCCGTTGTTGTAGTTTTGTTGATCACCATTGTGATTGTTTTTTTGTCGTTATGTGTATGCGTTCATGTTGACCGTGTGCATCTTAGCCGTGCAGAGCTGGGTATGTGCTCATTTTGCTTGTATCCTCTTGATTCTTCATTTTGAATCAATAAAATGCATCCATCATAGAAAGAATACAAAATATTGCTATAACAACCCTTAATAACCTAGTGACACAAAATATCCCCATTTGTAAATTGCACCAAAACTCATAGGGGCGGGCCCGCATGTAACTTTGACGTGTGCCACACGGTGGAAATGTATTTTCCAGAGGCTTGTTCAAGCAGGCTCACCAAGTAATGGTAAAAAA